TATTACATCTTAAATTTTATTAATTTATAATTTTTTAAATAAATAATCATAATATTTAAAATTAATTTTTTTATAAATTAATTTTAATATATTAAATAATAAATATTTATAATTTTATTAATTAATAATTATTTTTAATAACCAAATTGAAATAATATTTAACCATTTGAGTAGCATTAACAAATTTGATGGCCTTGATCAAAGCCATAGAATAGTAGCAAATTCATTACATTTTGAATATTGAAAAGGTAATTATGAACGTTACTTGTTAGTATTATCTCTATTTTAAAATATAAAGGTAAAAACCCCCCGTTTGCCCTTCAAGTTATCGAATTTGAGACATTTTACTCCTAATATTTTCAAGTTTAAGGAGATGAGGTAAAATTTAACGTCAGAGGGTCACGTGTAGCACGTGCACCATTGGCCTTTGTCATATATGCACATGTTAGCACCAGCTTAGATTTTTTTGATAAGTTGGCAAGTCCAACTTGGACCACCCATGAGTGGGAATTCTATTGTTGTTGTGGGCCCCACTCCCTGACCAAAGGTTTGAAAAAAAAAGAGAGTAGATAGAGAATGCAAACAAATCTATTTAAATGATCCCTAAGGCACAAAGAGTTTTGAGTTTCCTTCCTTTCTTCCCTTCTTTAATCTATCACATTCACTCCCATTTCATTTACTTCCTTGTTCAATGACTAGTTCCAGCAACTCTCAGATTTTAGCATTGGTGGAATTTGGAAGACATGAGTATGATTATGAGGGGCCAAGTTGGTTTTTCTTTTGTGGTTTGAAGGCTTCGAGGATCATGTCATAAAGCTAAAAGAATCTTGGTCGGAGGCTTTTTGGATGCCCAATCTATGATCCCATAGTAATCTCTTCCCTAATATTTGATTTTAAACTAGTGTGTTGTTTAGGGGTTTCTTTGTTAAGATATTTCAAAGGTATTGTGTGGTAATGTTTAGGGTTTTGCTTGGTATAGACATTGGGTTTTGATTCATTGTTAATGAAATGTGATTTAGGACATTTGTAGAACAAAAAAGTGACAATGTAAGTGTTTTGTGTAGTATGATCGAGATTTCTCTTTTAAGGCTAAGGAGGTTATCTTGTGGTTGGACAACAGTAAGACAAAATTGGATATTGATTTGGATGATGGAAGGGAAGGGATTAAAGCTCTTAGAAATGTTTTGAAGTGTTATGAAGAAAAAGGAGAGCAACAGATTGAGGCATTGGAGAAGAAAGTTAATGATTTGTAGATGTTAGTGACACTAACAATGGTGTATGCTGCGAAGCTAGAGAAATGGAAGAAATGTGGCCAAATTTCTTTGGTCATGGCTGTTTTGCTTGCTATTCTTCTTACCTTCTTCTTGTTTAGGAGTTGGGTTCTACCTGTTGAGGGGAACAAGAATTTCAAAAGACTAGGAAATTAAGAAACTAGGCAAATGGGGAGAGTTTTGTTTTTGGGCATTACTGTTTTTTGGTGGGCAATGTGGTTGTATTGAATGGTAGTGTTGGAGGTTGATAGATTTTACCCCCAAAATTCTAGTATGAGGCTTGATTTCTTCCCAAACTTTGTAATGTAATTTATTTTGGATATAACGAATGGTGATTGCCTTTTCTAGAATTGTTACCTCATTTCTTTGAATATTGATCAAATTGAAATAGTAATTTCAGATATTAATGTTAACAACCATAAAAGTTACATAAATAAGGAAATATCACTTATAATTAATTGATAATATAAGCCAAAAAGGTTACATTTACACAATTATCTTATTAGGATTGCACAAAAGTTGGCAAAAGGAAAAGACATCCACCATTTTCCCAGAATTTCATCACATACTCCAAAAATCCAAGATCAAAAAATCCTACATATTCTTGCCAAATATAGATCCTACCAAAGTAGATACAAGACCATGTGATTCACTTTGTTTCCATGCATTTACTGCATTTACATATTACCTACAAAAAACACATTTTGCAACCCTAAACCTAAGTTCTTCACTCCCATGCAGAAAAAAAAAAAAAAAAACCCCCATTCCTCAAGCTTCACTTGATCCCTTCTTGGCTGATTTTCGAGATGGTTGTGCCCTATGAAATTGGCTAGGATGGGTATGTCTCATAACAATCTCCCCTTGCAGACCTTGCTGCAGAAATTAACAGCAATTATCATAAATAAATTATCAACATAATTCGCATCAAAATTGAATGTTAAGTTTAAACTCATAAGGTTCAATTCTGGTGAATTAATGTATTCACCAAATCTGTGCTTCTTCTTTCTTCCTAGTCCATCAAATTAGCCAGACTGTATTATACCAAAAAAAAAAAAAATAGCAAGAATAGCCACATATAATTAACAATAAAGCAATAAAGCACTATCAATAGGAAGTCATAGATCCTAAGCAATTACCACTCACTAAACTTACATTTTCATCAACAAAATATCTATCAACACATGTTGTCCTGGTGTGACCAAGTTGTTTACAATATCCACAAGTTGGAGGGTTTTTTGGTATTGATTGCCGAGTGCTTGTTGATGCTTCCTATTGAGTATGAAAAAAAATGTCATTATAGTATAATTTGTTGATAATAAAGCAGGTGTAAGTAATTAACTTACTTCACTTTCAGTTGGCATTTTAGGGCATCCCCTCTTATTGTGTCCAAGCTACTTACAAAGTGAGCATTTGATTTGTCCACCTTCCTTTGTCATCTTTTCTAGCTCTCTCATCTTCACCTTTCTGGTTTCATTATCACTCTTCCTCCTACTCACCTTAGGCCTACCCGGCTTGGATCTAAATGGCAGTGGTTCTAGTGGTTCCCCCTGATAATTTTCCTAGAATTTCTCACCATTATAAGGCATGATTGGTACATTGTATGCACGTTCATACTTAACCCTTTTGTACCAAATTGATACAAATTCATCCGGTTGAAGTTACCTAAACTAATTGCAAATAATGCATGAGGACATGGAATTCTTGTTAAATCCCATGCTCTACAACTACACTATTTCCCAACCAAGTCCACAACAAATTTGTCATTCCAATGCCAAACATCATAATGGGTCCTGCTATTGCTATCTACATTTGGTTGCTTCAATTTATGTGCTTCTAATTTCTTCCTAATTCTGGGTGCTATATCTCCTCTCCATTTGCTAACTTCTTCTCTATTCTTGGCCATTCTAACCATCACCTTAACCCTTATACATTCTAATAGTTGGATGATTGGCATATACCTAGCATCCATTATCCAATTGTTGAAGGTCTCATTCATGTTATTACTCACCATATCACATTTGCACGATGTGTCAAAGAAGGCTTTTCACCACAACTCCAGTGGGATTGATTTTAAGATATCATGACCTTCCACAAGTAAATTTTTTATCTCTTCCATGTTTTTGTGGAATTGACGTTCATACATTGACCTTGGAGCAATCCAAAATCTTCTCTTCAATAGTTTCCCTCTGAAAATTTTTTGCTAATTCGCATATAAATGCTTGGCACACAATCTATGCCTAACCTTAGGAAAAACTGTTTGTTTTACATTAATCAACCCCTACCAAATTGTGTTTAAAGAAAACAAATAAGTTTAGTAACTGATAATAAAGTCAATTGAATTATACAAAAATAACATGGATGACTATAGTAACATAAACATAAACATTTTTGTAAATTAATTCATAATAAATTGTGCACACTTAAATGATGTTGGTCCGAAATGAATGTTAACTCTCGTTCGGTGTGATTTCATAAATCATCAGCTAGACATCTTAAAAAAAAAGTCCATGAGCTGGTACACACTGAGTCAACAACAGCCTAAGCAATTGGGAAGATTTGATTGATCCCATCCCTTGCAACAATTGCCAAAAGTGTTCCCTTGAACATCCCCTTGAGGAAACAAGCATCTACTCCAATCATTGGTCTACAACCCAGTAGAAAACCCTTCCTACATCCTTCTAGGCACACATAAATTCCTTTAAATGCAGGTTTTCCCTTTGGAGTTGTGGGTGGGTCAGTATCAATGTTAACAATTGTTTCAGGGGACAATCTCAATAGCTCTTTTGCGTACCCTCTTAACTGAGCAAATTCATTCATGTGAGTTTCCTTCACCTTCTTTATAATCTTATCCTTTGCTAGTTGACACTTATCCCTTGAAACATAAACTCCTAATTCTAAATGAGAGAGTCTCACTAACTCACTGATTCTAATTTGTGGATTTGCAAAAATTCTATTCCTATGGTGTTTTGCTAGTACCCTTGACCCAACCATGTCAGACTTCAAACTCCTAAAGCAAGTGTGCTCCCTGCAATATGTCTTCACCTTAAAAGTTTGGTCATTTTTATCAAAACTGGCAAAGATTTGCCAATTGCACTGTCGATTAACACAATGAATTCTCTGCTTGGTGGGGTCACTTTTAACAAGTTTCAACCTGCACCCTTTTTGAATTTGGTACTTAGCTATAGCCTTCGTAAACTGTGCCATATGCTCAAACTTCATCTTTACCTCAAACCAAACATCAGCCCATAAAGAATTAAACCATTAATCACCACTTCTAATAGTTCTTACATCTCCTTTTTCTTCTTTAAGTTCATCTTCATACACAACAGCGTAGTCACCTGAATCATCACTAGAAACCTCAAATTCATCTTCACTACTTTCAAAGCTAGAATTAGAACACAAATCTCCATGGCTATCAATTCTTACAGGAACCCTTTCACCCTCTTCATTAACTGTGGTATGGGTCTCATGGATTGTGCCACTTGGTCTAGCACCATCTGCATTTCTTTTTTGCATTGGTTTTATGTTTCTTTTTATTTCTAATAGATTAAAGAACCTCATCATCATCTGCACTACTATGCACATTATCAAGAAAGTCTTCATCATCATGATCATTCTGCACTGGATCTTATTGTTGGCCTGCATCACCTCCATGCACTGCATCTGTTTCATTAGCATCACCTTCAGTTGTTTTTGGAGCTTCATTACAAGTTGGGGTTGGTTGTGAATTTTGTGGCACATAGCTTTTCCCAATGTCCTCATCACTTCCAAAAAAAATGCATTGTACCTTCATCAAATGCATTGTACCTTCATCAATTGCTTCATGTGGAATGGTGCCATCTTCAACCAAGTCTAAAATGTTTGGCTCATCACACACATGCTCAATGTACACATCTATAATTCCCCTTTCATTTAAGAGAAACCGCATGTGAATAAGCTCCTGCATACTATTTATAACCTTTAATGCTTGCACATATCCAAGGCTTTTTACCCTATCCACTAGATACAACAAAATTATACGATGATATTCAATATCCTCATCATGTACTTCACCTCAAGCATACCTAAGATCCCCACTATGACTCATGCAAAAAGTGCCACTATGGTGAATTCTTAATGTCCCCATTACTGTCATATGGGAAGAAAAAGATATAAAGTAATATAAATTAATACACATTTAAGCATTCAATCTATAAATCAAGTTACTGATTACAAATTTATAGATTTAGAAATGACTAATTTACAATAATAACATAAATACTAATACTAACAACTCTAACTATACTTATACAATAATGGTTGAAATTGAATTCAACACTAACAGAAAAAGCAAAAGAAAACAAAAAAAAGTATAAATTTTCAGTTTGATTACTCAGTAAATTACATAAACCCTAAAAGTAACCTTAATCATCAAACACGGCTTAAATTTATTTTAACTCTAAATAAACCCTAAACCCTAATTAAATGTCACTTCCAACACAAATCTATAACCCCATCTTGAATTCCACTAAAAGTTAAACAAGATTTTGTTAAAATAAAGGAAAAATACCTGTCAATGGCATTAAGAAAAGTGTTAGAATCGTCTGTGCTTTGAGGTCCCTTTCGAATGTTCTATTCGTTCAATCTAGATTCGTTCAATTGGTGGGGACGAATAAAGTTGTTTCCTTCTGTGGTCCTTTTCTAGGTTGTAGGGTTAATCACGAAGCTTTTCTTTGTTCTTGATCATAATGCTTGGAGTCGAAAGGTTTGTTTACATTCTTTGTCTACTTTTTTTTTTTTCCAAGCCTTTAGTCAGGGAGTGGGGCCCACAACAGTGGTACAATTCCCGCTCATGGGTGGTCCAAGCTGGACTTGCCAACTTGTCAAAAAAATTTGAGTTGACGTTGACATGTGCATATATGACGGAGGCCAACAGTGTACGTGCTGCACGTAACCCTCCGACGTTAAATTTTGGCTCATTTCCTTAAACTCGAAAATATGGAGGGCAAAAATCCATGTACTTGAATATTATAAGTAAAACGCCTCAAATTCGATAAGTTGAAGGGCAAACGGGGGGTTTTTCCCAAATATAAATGCGTTTGATTTTTTTTTATATGACTTTA